CCCCCTTCACGAACCATAAAACGTCACAACGCCGAACTGCTCGTACGCTGAGCCCTCAGAATTATTCGGAACAATTAATCCGTGACATAACTTTTAGTTCCTTGCAGACCAAGTAGCACATAAAACAGTGTGACACAGTACCTTCATCGCGTACAAAGCAACTATATAACCTTGCGTTATATTTGGAACTGAAGGACGCAACGGGCGGCTCAGCGAGCTCAGCGTATACACACCAGTTTCGGTTTGAACGGCGGTCCTGATTCCCGCGATCTGGTGCCTCTGGATCCCCGTCTTCTCCCTCCGCCGCCTCGGGCTCAAACTGGTAAGGTTGAACGCCCCCAACGCCGTACGCGTCGCCCCACTCGAGCTCTCCACCAACTTCCATGGCTTCCGCCATTTTGGGCGACCTCTCCTCTGACCCGTCGGCGGGTGGGCGTTCCTACTGTGACGTCACGTGACGTCATCACCCAGATTTGCCGAGATCAAGGAAACCCAAGATGTTTGGCGCGCTGTGTTAAAAACGAGCGCGCGCTGGTGGACGCGATTGCTAAAATTTATGAGCACAACCGACAATCTTCAGATTAAGTACAACAGATTAAGTCTATTTTCCCTGTTACATAGGGGCTTTAAAACTTACCAGTATCAATTTTGTTTTCAAATGTTTCCATAAAGTAGTCTTCTTCATAAAGTATCGAGTTGACAGGGGCTTCCCAATAAACAAGAAATCATTACTTTCTCTAACGTTAGCTATCCACTTGCGTCACAGCCAAGAAGACGGAGTCATTCGACCCCCTAAGGTAAGTAGTAACTTAAGAAGGGATTCGCCCAGAAGTGGTGGAAAGCCTTAAAAGGTTTAAAGGTCCAAACAAATTCGCATGCCCCTCTTGACCGAGGCAGAAGGGATGCGGTGGATGGGAACCACGTGAAGCAATTCTTCACCCTGTTGAAACCAACACTAAACGACAAGGGCCTCTCAGATCAACCTCACCGGGTATACAACGTGGATGAAACTGGCTTTGACCTGGACCCTTAAAAAAAGAGTTTTGTGACCTTCTGTAAAATGGTTGCCCCTGCCGTTTCCATGCGAAGAGGAACACGTGAGATTTTTTTCTACAATGGAATGCGTCGATGCTGACGGGTCAGTGTTGCCACCATTTTCACCAATGCGCATCGGAGCTCGGCGTGCCGACTAGAGCTGGCAACTCCATGTATTCCACAACATCTTCCGGATTTAATGAAGGCAAAGTGTTCGTGGAGTGGCTAAAGAAGTTTTTTGCCGGTGCGCGTCTCTCGAGAGACCAGTGCAGCTACTAATGGCCTAGCATACTGCACACGTGACTTCAAAAGCCATTGACACTGCTACCGGTAATAATATACTTCTTATTGGGCTGGTCGCATTCTAATGGACCGGTAATATCATTCTAATGGTGCTGGATTCAACGACTGCTCGAGCTGGACTCAGTTTCACTGTACTGGTTTGAACGAGGAAATCAAATTTTTACTAAAAAAAACACGGACGAAATGTATCACTGCATCAACTGCCATGGTCCACAGAGCACCAAACCTTCGAAAGAACAAGGCCATTTTTCATCAGGGCGACCATCTCGGACATCACCATAGCACGGCGGATCTGGTCTCCTGCCCGAAGGTACGGCACCAACCATCTTTGTCGCCGCCTTTTCAAGAGAGAGAGGCACATCGGGCAGGATGGCGAGGTACCAGTAAACCTAAGCTACATGCACTGTTCTCTCATTTACTGTTAGAGTATTCTATTGTGCACCATATTTTACCATACAGACAGTTCATCCCTTGGTTGACAGCCCATTATTTGGGAAAGCATATCCGAGTATCTCTGCTATCTTGTGCAGTAACTGCGACCTTTTTCTCGGTCGACTACGAAGGGTTAAGGGAGGAAAATGAGCAATGATGTGTAGAAGGGATTTAATTACTTTCTGTTACAGGCAACCTAAATTCTCAAGTTTTAAGCAAAAGGACTTATTATGAAGGAGAGGCGAAAGTTGTTGTTGAGACTTTTGAAAATTATTGTTTGACTAGAGAAATCATTAACTTCATGTTGCATATTACAAGTCATTTTGTTAAAATTGAAATAGATTATGATTAATGTATGGGTACCAACCATATGATTTGGATATTGTAGGAGTTTGCCTCCGTTACGTCATTTTGTGCTCATTTTTTTATTACAACACCTGTGACAATGCATGTACTTTTATATTGAGTTGCTAGTTTGAGTTGTTCCCTAACACATTTAACCGGAATTGCAAAAGAAAAGACAAGTTCCCATAATTGTTGTCTTGATGAACACTTCAATCACCCAGGTTAAGATATGACAACTAAATTAAGTTTTATTCTATATTTCCAACAGCTACACACCTCGTACTTTTCTCAGCCGTTAGATTTGAATGAGTTTTTTTTTTTTTAATCTCTAAACGCATAGTAGGCAACGGCATTTGAAACAATGCAAGCGTCGGACACAAAA